ATCATTTTTACACTAACATTGCAACACTTTTTATCACTAACTATGCAACATCTTTTTGCATCATTGTTTCAATAACAATGCAACATTTTGACACTAACTGTGCAACTTTATCACTAATTATGCATCTGTTTTGTTTCAATAACTTTGCAACATATTTACACTAATTTTGCCTCACCATATTTACTTCGTGCACAATACATATCATGGTCAACGGGTCAATGCCGGAAGTCAACGGTCAACGCCAAAAGTCAACAATTTTCACCAGAAGTCAACAATTTTCGCTGGAAGTCAACGCCAGAAGTTAACGGTCAATGCCAGAGTCAACGGTAAACGGCTAATGGTCAAAATAATATTTAAATAACTAAAATAATTAAAATAAAAAATTATTATTTAAATAAAGAGTTAAATCATGGCCACATATCTTGATACCCTTTTAAACTTTTAGTGGCCTGGATTGAGTCTCATGTCCTCATTTTAAGAATGTGTCCTCATTGAAACCAATCCCTATATATATATATATATATATAACAGAAGAAAACAAAATAAAATAATGAAACAAAAATACGTATTTAACATCTTCAATTAACAAATACGAGACATCCGTACAAATTTATTATCAACGGATGAAAAGAAATATAGTGAATTGTAAATCTCTATTATTTCTCTGGTTAATTTTTATCCAGAATGGTCTTTAAATGAAATTTGAGACTTTTGGAGATGAATTTTCAGTTTGATCACCGTGGGTGTTGAGTTTAAATTTTAATAACGTTTCTTCGAGGACTTGATAGATCGATCTCGAATCGAACGTCGTAATTCCCAAGAATGTGAAGAACACGAGTCCTAGGTCTTCACCGCAAAGTCCATCTTGGATCTTCTCTACATCAGCCTTAACTTTAATAATGTAATTTAGAGGCTTGACAGCTTGTTCCGGAATACACTTCGGTCTTGAACTTAAAAGTGCTTGATCTTGCTTCGAATCTTCAAGAACGTTTTTGAATTTTCAAGAACACTAGAATCTCGTCGAGAGGATACTCTAGATCTCTTGAACTTGAATATAAATTGTGTTTTTGACCTTAGGGAGAGCCCCGTGTTAGGAGAAAGAGTCTTGAAAATGAAGACCTCAATTTGATTGGTCCATGAATTTTAAATATTTATCTCTTTAATAATCATTTAAAGCGATAATTAGGAGATAGAATCTTGGAAAAGAAGACTTCAGTTTGATTGGTCCTTTAATTTCATATATTATCTCTTTGATAATTATTAAAATAAATAATTATTTATTTTATCTGCAAGAAAAATACACATGGCATTCTTAATCGACCTTCAAAATATACATGTGACATTCCTTAATTGGCCAAAAATATATAATAAATAGTTAATTAAATAACTATTTAATTTAGAAATTAAAATTTAATTAATTTTATAAATGAAATAGAAATTTAATTTAATATGCATTTTGACATTTGACATCATTTAATTGGCTCAAAATTTAATTGTCCACATTGTGATTGGATTTGTTTGTTTTTTTCCAATCATTTTAAACCAAATCACTTTTTTTTTTAATTAAACTTTAACTCAACACCACTATCTATACTATCAGTATAATTAAATAATCTCAATAAGTCATATTTACATATCACATCAACTTTAATTTACTATTCATTCACTCACATAATTTTAACTTTTACATCAAATCAACTTAAACAATTTTATTTTAAATATTATTTTAATACAAACTCAAATTGTAACGCTCCACTTTGATTTTAAAGAAATTCCGGACTTTCAGAAAAATCAGATTAAATTTTTCAAAATTTATTCCAAACATATTTATGGCGTTACTCATTTTCAACATCAAACATCAATATAATTCCAACTCCCAAAACGGGTTTCCAGAAGTTCATTAATCACCCAAACCGAGTTCCAACAATAATCATAGAACCTAACGAGCATCTCCTTAACATTATTTCAATCATAATATCCGAAAATCATATATGCATAAATATCCCAAGTTCATAAATCATAAATCAGTTCATAACGCGGAAACACGACAATAATAAAATCGGTCTCATAGACCGACCACCACTCGCTATACTCCGCCGTCGTACCCGCCTTGCTTAACCTGAAACGTTAATTTCAGGTGGGGATGAGCACAGTTGGAAATCGTAGTGCTCACCACTATGAAGTAAACATCAATCAATATAAAAAGCAGTAATCATAAATAAGTCAGGTATGGCAGCAGCATGTATACAAATCAATTTATTATCCCATCTCCTATCCCAGAGTCCACCCTCATGTGCACACCTACGCATAGACTACTGCTGATACTCGATTCAAATGCCAAAACTTACGCCTTGGTCTTACAACGATGCCCAGCCAGTAGGAGTAATCCACCCCGCCGGCCAAGACTTACGAATTGGTCTTACAAACGGGGATCACCAGCCGAGGGCCCATGCCCCGGTCTTATGACCATACATAAATAAAAAAGACTACCCATCGGGTACGTTCTATAACTACGGGGATAACCGTTCGACGGCCGGTACAGCTCACATCGAAGGTTACATGGTTCACATGCATACATTGATCATACCACACGTAAGACAACAATTTACTGCATAGCAATTTTAAATAAAACCCACCTGGATTTCCAGATTGAAAACACTTGACAAGCAAAGGGCGTAGGTCGAGGCTTGACTCCTCAATTACCTACATTCGTTGGGATTTGTCTTAGAACCTTATCAAGGCTTAACTTATACTTGCTAGTCTTAAACATAAATATAAACTTTGAAAACTAGCTCGCTTGGCTTCGACTTACTCGCATTCTTTGAAAACATTTTATGATTAAGTCTTTTCGGTTGTTGGATATCTTGACTTGCTTAACTTTTAACTCTAAGGACATTTAAGGATAAAAAATACTACATGGATCAAGAAATAAATCCCTTAGGTCATATAATTGAGCATTTCGATAGTGCGTGCCATTTTCGGAATCAAACTAATGATTTTTGCAAAACATGATATGCGCAGCGATTTTCAAATGATCACATCTAGCAGCACATAAGTCGAAACAACATGAAATCAGTGGCATGTGATTCCTAAGACATAGATCTACAACTCTCATGAACAATGGAAAATCAGACGAGGTCATTATCTACATGATAAATCAGCAAACATTTAACACAAGAGTGCAGTCAAAACATTCAAACAGGGTGGCAGCATTTTGAAGATAACTCGAGCTATAGTCATGATAAAAATATGAATCTGGTACTCATATAAATGTAAGAAATAAAGATATAATTTTTGTGAAGACTACTTTAACAAATTCTGACATAGTCACAAAGATAAATCAACAACAACACAAAACATAGCTGCAGTCCGGAAAGGAAAAGAACAACTTACAGCACTTCAGTAAAACAACAATAACTCAAGTTACCGAACTCCAAATCATACAAACTTAAAACCTACAGAAACTACACAAGAAAAGCTACAAATTTGATGAAGAGAATTTGTATGTATAATTACGTTAAAGACACCGATTCAGAGCATACATTCAACACTTAAACACAGTCTCGGTTTCATAAAAACTGGAGGTACATCCCACTTTGAAAAATCATATAAAATCAATCAAAACTCCAATTTTCATAATTCCAATTCATGCAGGCAGCTAACAACAAATACTAAATTTGTCATGAAGAACATATTTTCACTCAGGCATGTTAAGGCCATCTAAAACAGCAGTGAATCAAGGGAAAGGTCTCAGCCCGAGTTTATAGAAAACTGTACGCTTGTCTAACTTTGAAAATTCATATCAAATTCATTTCATCTCCAAATCACGAAATTCCAAAACTCACTGAAACCTAACTCAAAGCACTACAAACCTCATGAAGAATACTTATCCAAGAAACAGCTTCTTGGTTGACAAAAATAGAGCACAAACCGAGGCTCGTAAATTAAATTTTCATGCCTTCATCAACTCAAAACTATCATACAACAACATAGCCTCGAAATCACGTAATTTATATGTTAAGCAAGCCTCGATTTCCATTATTTAAGACTTAAACACTCGATAAATCGTACACGTTGTCCGAGGTCCAACTCGGTCTTATTAAAAACGATAGAAAATACAATCTTATTATCTTTCACTTGAATTATTATGTATTTTTGATTCGATAATAATGAGAAACAATACGATAATAAATAACAAGTCATATCATCGCATAACACGAAATTGAACGAGACGGGGTTCGAGCCTAAGTACAGTTCTCGGGTATATGTTCGAAAAACGAATCGACAAGGATTGACGGGCTCGGAAGCTAAAATAACTAACCTCGGGCGGCTCACGCTCGGCCTCGGTTCGTTCTCAAATAGATGAAAGGGTCGGGTTTCCCGAGGCTAAGCGTGGCAGCGACTAGGAGTTGCCGACAATTGGAACTCGGCGGTGGCTGCGAGCCGGGAGGAGGGCTGAAGTTTTTGCCGCTGAGGTGGCTAGCTCGCGACGGAAAAGGGTGGCCCAACACGGTGATGCTGTGATGTTCTCGCGGCTGGGAGAGCTCGCCGGAGTTGCAGCGGCTGCCGGTGGCTCTTGGGCGGGATCGCCGGGTCGCTGTGGAGGGCCTGCTGGTTCGTGGCGGTCGTCTCATGTGGTCTTGGCGACAGCCAGTGGTTGTCCGCGAGTGGCAGTGATGGCGGAGGCAGAGACTCGCGGAGGATGAGGGCGGCAACGGGCGGCGTTGATTTCACGAGAGATTGCGACAGCAGGGAAGACGGGGTCGCGACGGTGGAGGGGGTCGCCTGGCGCTGTTGCCGGTCACGGCGGAGGGCTGCGCGCAGAGGGGCAGCGGCTCGCCGGGAGTTCGCTGGTGGCTCGTCGGTGGGAAGGGAGGCTCGCGACGGTTGACTGAGATGCTGTGAGGAAGACGATGAGATTAATCTCATCTGCTCTGAGGGACGAGAGGGGGAGGAGAACGATGATGGCGACGAAAATTCCGAGCGAGAGGGAGAGGGAGATGGTGTCGTCGGTTTTGTCAAGAGGGAGAAGATATTGAAGGCTGCGGCGGTGAGATTTCTGAGAGAGAAGGGAAATAGATACTGAACGTATATATATATACACAAGAGAGTCCAAAGGGCTGTGAATGAGTGGCATATATACAAGAGCAGTGTTAAAAGCTGGAAGGGTAATGACAGGGATAAGGGTAATGGGGTGAATGGAGAGGAGATAGTGCAGGTTAGGTGTGAGGAGCTGATCCAGAATGGAGGGACAGAGAGTGGCTTTGAAGATGGGATTATGATTGCTGTTAGTTGTTGGAAGCAAAATGGCAGATTGGGGATGGGGGGAAGAGCTTTTAGAGAAGACAATGACCTACAACTATGGGATGCATCTAGGGACTTTCATGGAAGTTCAGTGGAGGCCTATATTGTAGCAACTATGTGGGTGCTCGAGGAGGCAAAGAAGAAGGACTGGAAGAACATCATTTGCTATGTTGACTGTAAGGAGATGGTGGAGTGCACACAAGATTTCATAACAAATCAGAGAAGGAGGGAGGAGCAGGCATATGCATTCAACCTTTTGGTGACTAGTTTTAACTCTTGTACTTTTAGTTTTAATGCTAGTATTTGTAAAGATTGTAACTTTCTAGCCAAAATGGCTATCCAAGGTGATTTGTAAGTGTTTTAAATCATTCTGGGGTTCCCAAAAATGTGTGTGAGCTTGTTAGGGGAACCATGGTGCCTAGTTAGGCCTCGTATTGTAAGACGTTTATTGTTGAGTAATTTTATCTTGTTTGTCGTTGGGAAAAAAAAAGACTAGCTTTTTATTTTATTGATTCACAAGAAAATTCACACGCACACACACACACGCACGGAAATTAGAGTGAGAGGGAAAACGGGTCATGGGGCGGGCTGGCTCGCAAGTCGGTTCGGGTCAACTAGGAAGAACCGATTCAGCTAGACGATTAGAATTAAAATAAAATGAATATTATTTATATATATAAGACACACAATTTATTAAATAAATAATAATAATAACATATAGACATTTAGCCATCTAATTATAATTTGGCAAATAAATAATATTTAGACAATTAGGTATTTAATTACAATTTGGCAAATAAATAATATTTAGACAATTCGGCATTTAATTACAATTTGGCAATTAAATAATATTTACACGTTCGATAATAATAATAATAATAATTATAATAATAATAATAATAATGATAAATAAATCCCAAATAATTCATAATTAAACGGGACTGTAATGCCCCGTTTGACTATGAAATTTTTTAGGATTATTTATTATTATTGTTATTATTTAAGTTTATTTGTTGTTATTATTATTTATTGAATGCTATAAATTATTAATTGTCTAATATTATTTATTTGTCAAATTGCTTAATTGTTTAAATATTAATTAATTGCCTAATTTGCTAAGTGTTATTATCTAATTAAAAATGTGTATTTGTATTTTTACTAGTATTATTATTATTATTTTAAAAATTAAATTTCATGTATTATAGATATATATTATATTCGGTTTATTTATTTATGTTGCGATTTATCGAGCCCGAGAAGAAAAATCGTATTGATGCTACGTCTAATCAGGCCCGAGAGCCGAATCATTTTGGCGAAACCCACGTGCAAATCGGCCCGGTCGAACCGTATCCACGCCCCGGCCCAACCGAACCGGCCCGTGAATCAAACCCGCCCTAGTTGAGATCCGGTTCTTTTCTTGCGCGTGAGGGTGTGATTTTTCTTTCGTGTTCACCAAAACTGTTAACCCTACTCTATATCTCTCTCTTGAGCGATCGCAGACATCAAGAAAATATCATCACCCCCTCAGTCGCAAATCAAAGAAAATCTCATCTCTCCCTCTCATCCTTTCGATCGCTGACCCTCGTCGTCTTCACCATCACCTCTCGCCTTCACCACCCTTGCTGACCATCAACATCGCATCATCATCATTATCCCCACTCATCATTGTCGTTATCATCACTCTCCTCCACCATCTTCCTTGCGAGAATCATCACCATCGTCGCCATCTCCCCTCGCTGAACCCTTCCCTACGAAAATTTGATCGCGCCTCCGCCCAATTCTGGCGAGTTCAGCGGCCCCGCCACCGAGCAGACGACCCCCCGTCCTCCGGTGTCGTTCCGTTCGCGAGCAGGCCCAACACCGGCGAAGAGAACTTCTGTGAGTTCGTCACCTCCACGGCCAGTCACCTTTCCGGCGAACCTCTGTCAATGCAGCGACTTTCCGGTGACTCCCTCCTGTCGCGACTGCAAACTCGCGCCATCACCATTCCCCGCGACGAGCCGCTGCAAACCGTTGTCATCCTCCTTTTCTGTTCGCGAAGAACCTGACTCTCCGGCCCGTTTCCGACGATTCCTGAACGCAGCGACCCGACATCGCGATCTGCTCCTCCGCGGAACGTCACTCTCAGCCCTCGACCATCAGCGAGCTCCGTCAGGCGCAAACGGACGAGCTGTTCACTCTGCATGATAGTCGTCAATCCTTCGTTTCCGTTTTCGATCGAATCCCGAGAACGGTACAAGGTTCGAACCGCCTCGTTTAATTCTATATATTATTTTATGTTTTCGATTATATGAAATGGGTCTTGAACGTGCTTCATGAATTTAAATTCATGCCTTAGATGAATATGTGTGGGAGTTATATTATTTAATTGCAAATTGGATATCAAAGTGATTGCCGTCACTTTGAATTATTGTTGAACTGAATTTAATGTAGTATATTTCATGGAAATCCTGGAGTTATTGGTACTTGGAGTTGTCCTTGATTTATTGGTTTTGGTTTGAGGTCGTTTCGAGTTATATATAGGGAGTTATGATTTTTCTAAACCGAGCATGCTGCTGAACCGTAATAAGCTCACCATAAATCGAGTTGTTATCCGTTTGGGCTAAATTTTTGAACCTCTGAGTATTTGTAATGAGTTTGCCAAGCCCCTGATTTTATCTTTTAGTTTTTGGTGTTCAACTGGTTAAAACGGTTTCTGGGCAGAAACTTGTAAAATTCATTAAAAATCATACACTTGGAGTTTTGAGCTGAAACTTGGAGGAACATGTCGTTTTGTGTTGTTTTATGCTGTATAAAAATTTCAGACTGAAATTCGAAGTGTAGCTATGCGAACCATTAAATGCCGATTTTGGCGCTGTTTTTGCTAAAATTATTTAAAATATTTCACGGATTAATTTAGTGCTAAAACTTGGTGAGTTTATGTGTTTTTGTTTTCTTTATAATTTGGTAAAGTTTCAGGTTGATTGGCGGAGCCTAACTCCTAATTCTGAATTTATTATTATTTGGGGTCTTAATGATCGGTTATCTATTGTTTAGGTTAGGATTGGATTTTATTAATGTTGGCATGATTTATGTGTATTATATGAGGTATTTGAGTTGTGTCCAGGTCTGGCAGTGACTCCATAGTACCTAACTCGGTCAAGGAATCCACGAGTCACTTAGTCGATATAATTTTGGCTAAGTATATGTGCCTTATATGTTGTTTTGTATTGGACAGTCAGTGATAGGTCATTATAAATTTCTGCAGGTTCTTCGAGCTGAACTTGTGCCATAATTTCTTCAACTCTGTGTGTGGCAATACCTCTTTCTATATCCAGGTGGGTTTTATTTGAAAATTTCTATGCCTTAATTAATTGTTATTGTTGTGGTATGATCAAAGTATGCATGTGAACCATGTAGCCTTCAATGTGAGCTATATTGGCCGTCGAACGGTTATCCCCGTAGCTATATAACGTACCTGATGGGTAGTCTCCTTTATTTATGTATGGCAGTCAGGGCGTGAGCTTTGGCTGGTGATCCTCAATGTAAGTCCGAAGGCTAGGTTCCGGGCATTCGGGGTGGATTTACTCCTACTGTCTGGGCATCGATTGTAAGACCCGTGGGGCATTTCGATACATGTATCAGCAGTGGTCTATTGATATAGGTATGCACATGAGAGTTGACTCTGGGATAGGAGATGGGATATTAATTGATTTGTGTTCATACTGCGACCATACCTGCTTTATTTTATGAAATTGGATATTAATTATTGCATAGCGGTGAGCACCTCGATTTTCCTATTGCGCTCATCCCCACCTGATCTTCATGGATACAAGTTAGTAAATGCGGGCACGACAGAGGGAGGCGAGTAGTGGTCATTTTAATGATTATTTCCGATGTTTAAGCTGCTTAGTATGATTTACGCATTTATGATATATATTGGATTTCGGATTATTGATAGGGAGTGTGCTCCCTAGTATTTATGGATTTGATGAAACCCAGTTTTGGGAGTTGATGTTATTTATGAACCCAGTTGGGTGTTGACCTATTTATGGTTGTTGAACCCGTTTGGGAGTTGCATTTATGATATTGTTGAAATTGTTGTTGGAAAAGAGTAGCGCCTCAAGTGTTTAGAAATAAATTTTGAAAAACTTATTCTGAATTTTGACAAATAAAAGTGGGCTGTTACAGTTTGGTATCAGATCCAGTCTGCGTTTCTGTAGACAGGTTAACGTGAATTATGTGATTACGTGCTTTGACCCCATGTTATGTGTTTGTCCCATTTTTGTGTCTTTATTTCATATTTATTTTCTTTTTGTTTTCTCCCATTTGTAGGTTTTTCGTCGCTTATTTGGTCCATTTCATTCGTTTTGTGTTTTTGCCTTTATTTTATATTTTTGTATCTTTTTGCCGTGTTTTGCTTCGTGTTTTTCCGTGTTTGTGTTTTCAGGAGGTAGGTGGTGCCGGTCGAGGTTAGGATTGCGTGTGCCGAGACTGTGATATCGAGAATTCCCGTGGCCGAGCCCAGAAGACGACGAAGAGAACTAATAAGACGGACAGAAAACGCGCCCAGAAATTCTCGCGACTCGCGAGAAAAACTGGGGCTTAAAGGCAGTGGCGAGACAATGTCGCGCCTCACGAGAAGATGTCGCGACTCGTGAGACTGAGTCGCGACTCGCGACCTATGTCGCGACCAACCCCAGAGTAATAAGAAAATGACGACGCGCGACTCGCGACCCAAGACAAGACTATCTCGCGACTCGCGACTTAACCGGCGCGAATTTCGAGGATGGGATTTTTAATGCTGATTTCGATCCTAGGGTTCATTATTCACGATTCCAACTCTATTTTTACGTTCTCTCTGGAGAAAAACCTATTCCTTTTCCGGGAAAACTGAAGTCCCGGTGGAGTGGCCCATATATTATTGATGAGGTGCTTAGTTTTGGAGCCGTCAGACTCTGGAATCCAGCAAATGGCGAGCTGTTTACGGTTAACGGACAACGAGTGAAGCCATACTTTGATGGGGAGTCCGAGAAGTACCATGTCGAGACCATCGGTCTCGGCGACCCAGCGTATCCTTGATCAAAGGCATTAATGCCGAGCTCCCGGCTTAAAACTGAGCGTTTATTGTATTATGTGTATAAAAAAAAAAAAAAATCGCGACTCATGACACGAAATCTGTCTTTCGGTCTCAGTTTTTTTCGCGGCTCGCAGGCAGTTTTCGCGACTCGCGAGTTGTCCCACAATATATTGCTGCCGTATGCTGTTTTTCTCGCGAGTCGCGGGACATGTCACGACGCCTGTCGCGACTCGCGACTTACAAGTCGCGAATTACCTGCTATCCAAACCTAAATCCGTCGTTTTATTTTGCAGATT